TAAAACTCTATGGCTAGTTTGGCAGTCTCTACTCAACAACCCAAACTGCATAAGCAACTAACTAATTACAAAAGCGTATCTCTAAACCTTTTACTGGTGCGCGTATCATCTCACTCTATAACAGTTACAAACATTTTCAAACCGTTACGGTTCTTCTTCAGGTGATCCCCTAACGAAATGCAGTTCAACGATGTTACGAAATACGATCCGAAATGATGTCCCGACCCGATGACGTCACTACGGACTTGCGCGTTATGCATGGTGTGCTCTATTTTAGCGATTTATCTATTAGGGCCTGCCAGGCCGTCAATAGAGCGATTTTGTCCTTGTAGTTAATGCAATAACGTCCTTCACTCATGTTTATGCATATGTATATCGCCTCGCTCTATCGACGGCCTCTACCAACGAAATCGCTCTATCGAGGGCCTGGCAGGCCCTAATAGATAAATCGCTAAGATAGAGCACACCATGCATAACGCGCAAGTCCGTAGTGACGTCATCTGGTCAAGACATCATTTCGGATCGTATTTCGTAACATCGTTGAACTGCATTCCGTTAGGGAATCGTCACCTGAAGAAGAACCGTAACGGTTCGAAAATGTTTGTAACTGTTATAGAGTGAGATGATACGTGCACCGGTAAAAGGTTTAGAGATAAGAGTTGTGTTACATTACTACGGTGCTGATATTCCAACATTAGTTAAATATTTAAAATAACAGGCAATGAAAAATTCTGGATATTCTGAGCTATCAATGTAGTAAAGGCAAATTACATTCAACAATCAATTTTTACATCCAACAAAAATATTTAATATATTTTACTAAAAATATTTTTAAAAGTAGACAACAATGGAAGAAAATGCTATTAAAGAAACAAAGCATATTAACCTTATTATAATATTTATTTTAAAATTATAAGTGAACTTTGCTTTCTTTGTATTAAAATATAAAAATTGAATAATTGGATTTAAGAAAATTCCAAGAATTGATTCCCTTTTAAGCATTTAATGGAGTGTATAGAAGAAAAAAAGCTTTTTAAATTGATACAGCTGCTGATACAATTGTCTAAGCATCAAATATGATTACTTGGCAGACTAAAGTACTGTGTGTTAACGAAATTTAAGAATCTGCGCTTGACGTAATAACTGATACGTTGGTAGTGTCTGTTTTAATTATGTTTAAATCCTTTGCTAGATTTTGTTTCTATTTGTTACTAAGTTTTATTTAGATAATTGATTTTTGAAGGTATTTGAAAAATTGGGTCAGCATTTTAACAGAAAAGCTAAATGCCATTAAAGATCTTTAAAAATGTTAAACAGCATTAAAGTTTAAACTGCTACTGACTTTAGTAAGATTGTATTTGTTTAAATCTTAGTCGTTGTGTATGGATTTTGTTCAGTTATAATTACTTTCATAATTTAAACTGTTTATTCTTTAAGAGAAGAGCTTAATGCTGTTGTAAATGATTAACCATATGGTCAAAACATAGTTAAAATTATTTTTGCTGTGTGTGTCACTTGATACACAAATTCCTTCAATAATGTTGTCATTCATAGAGCAAGTTATATTTTTAAAAAAATTTTTGTCTGTAATATTTAACCTTGTTTATCAGTCACGTTGTATTCTACAATTAATAATTTTTAATCATATTAAAATTCAGCACATTTTAAAGGACGACATGACAGTTTATTACAAAGGAAGCGTTGATTTATGACTGCTTGTAAATTTACTCAAACCTTAATAAAAAAAATTGTTCCGCCTTCTTTTTAAAAAAAAAAAAAAAAAAAAAAAAAAAAATTTTTTTTTTTTTTTTTTCCCCTTAAATATTTTTTTTTTTTTTTTTTGTTTCTCTCCCTTTTTTCTTCTCACTCATTTGCCCTTAATGAGGAAACCGATCTAGGTCATACGATCATCCATATTAGCTTTTGANAGGAGAATTCTTCATATTTTATTTAAATTTCAGGTATACTAGATGCTGATGATGTTACCGTCGAGAATCCAGATGATGAAATTCTCACAGAACTAAAAAAATGCCAGGCAGAACTAAAGACTCTTAGCACATACAACCTGACTCAGATCAAAAGATTGCTTCGTTTAGCCAAAGAAGAAATGGCAAAACAGGAAATTCGGAAAAAGTTACAGGTGGCGGATAATGAGGTAACTATCGTAATTTATTATTGTAATTTTTGTCTTTGTTTTTCTTTTTTAATATTCAGATTTAGAGAATTTATTTTTATTTCCTAGGTGATGGAAGCTCACAGAAGAATCATGGCTTCGAAACAGAAAAAACGCAGTCCCACAAAAAAAGAAAAAGAATTAGCAATGAAGGCAATTAAGGAGAGAGAACAGATCTTAAAACAGCTTGATGGCATCGGACAGTTTGTATAAATATAATATAATAATCATACAGCAGTTTTGTATATAGATTCAGTTTTATTATTATATCCACTGGATGATATATTTTTTGCGTTCTAGTAAAAAAAAAACCATCAATATTTATATTAGTAACTGATGCCTCCTTGTCCGACGGCATCCTTCGAAACTATTTTCGACAATCTGGCTGACTATACACGCCGTGAATGTTGTACATTGAATCTTTATTAATTTACACAGAAACATCCTTTAAATGTCATTCTGAATATTTTGTAATTTAAAGAAAAACTCACTATAAAGGATGTAATGTTTATTGTTCCCATTAAATGGGATATATCTTTTTTAGAAACGAATCATTTTTTTAATATCAACAAAATAAAAAAAATTTTTAAAGCCATTTTTCGAATATATTATTTTCTTGCCTCAAAGTGTCTCTTAAAAAGTTGTCTATCACAATAATTTATCTTATGTGCAAATACATTATTCCTATTTTTAACAACTGATACTAAAAGAACATTTGAAGTAATGTGAAATATCATTATTATGTCTGCCAGGTATCAAAAAAAAAAAAAAAAAGAAAAATTACAATTCTGAATATAAAAGTCAACACTATTATTATTATTATTTGTTATATTATGAATTCTATTTTTATACATTTATAAATTTGTTGATAATCACTTGATGTTTATCTCATACAAATTTACTCTGACATCACTTAAAATGACAATTATTTGAAGTATTAACATATGTTGGGCTTTGCTAAACTTATGTTAATACTTGAGTTGCATACTGAATCTAAATCTTCTACATTAAATTTTGATTCTTAATGTATATTGAAAGTATAAATATCTAGTTTGTATATGTCCAGTTAATAATCCTATTAAAATTATCAAAAATTTAAGAAAAATGAAATATATAAATTCATAAATATCTAAATACAAAGTCTTACAAAAAGAATGTTATCATTTTAAATAATTTTAATTACATCAATTATTGTTTGAGAATGCTGTAATGTACAATACAGTACATTAAGACATTGGAAGGCTGTTGAGTTTCACGTGTGTCCATTACAGTTTCTTGATGTCATACAATACAAATCCAACTCATACTAACATTCTTGCTACATTTGCTGTTGCATATACTATGAGTTTTCATCTCTAAAATGTGAATGTCAAGTGCCGCTTATAAGATAGGGCGCTCGATGTTCACATTTTGGAGATGAAAACTTCAGCTGCAACCTCGCTATTATAGACGGAGTCAAGTATATCGGATGTAATTTAAGTTCTGCAAAAGTATACATCAATATACTTATATCATCATATATATTATCAGTATCATTTCTTTATCAAGAATTAAATATTAACTTGCTATGTTAATATGATTAATATAAGTATATATTTTAATATCTTATCATTTACACCCAAGTTTTCCTAACCTGTTATGCAATTACAGCTGTGATTTTGATTTATAAAACTCCAAAAATTATCAAAACTTGATGATAAGTTTAACTAAACAGAATAAACATGGCAGTAAAATGCCACAATTGTTTCTTTTTTCAGATATATAGTTTTTCTATGAAATATTTAGATAGAGGGGCCCAGCAAGGTCATTCGAATGGGACCCTAGATTAGTATAGAGTGACTCCATAATTTAGAATACTTTGTGTAAAGAAATATGTTATAAAGTGATATAAATTATGGGGTTTTGGAGAGGAATGAGGATATATTATTAGCTCAAGACCTATTGTGTCTCCCTCACCTCTGATTTTGAATAAAACAACAAACATTCTCAACCATTCCAATAATTGAAATCAGCTTAACTAAATACACATTAATGTAATTAAGTACAATTTCTAGTTAGATTTTTCAGAAATTCATATGAAAAAAGCACTTTTATCTATATTTTATTGCACATATATTTCCAGAATTAACAATTATTCATTTTATCTATAATTAAAATCATAGTTTAATGATAATTAAAATTCTCAACATATCAATGATAGAAGAGGAGAATTATAATGTAATCATATAAAGTGAAGCATGATATCATCTAGATCAGTATGTTCCTCCGTTTAAAAAAAAAAGTAATGATAAGTTATCTGATCAAGGTCAATTAGTTTATCATTTATCAAGTTTATTTTATAGTTTTAATAACGTAAAAAATTTAAAAAAATTTGTGAATTATACATTACTTATTAGGTTAAAAGAAAAGGGAAATTATCAGCTAAATTAAATAAAAAAAGTAAAAGACAAGTGCTGCCATCTTTTGGCGCAAATAATTAAAACTCCTCGAAAATTGTTTAATTGAAGCGGAAAATTTTAATGAATTCATCACCGTGCTGACGTCACAGCTGCGTTTTTTTCACACACCAACCGAAACGTACGACAATAAACGGCAAATATTTAAAAGAAGAATTAATAAAATCCAGTTTCATCTTCAGGCTTTGCAACTGTGAACGGTTGTTATTTATCGTAACGACCACCTGATGACAATAATCATTAAAAATAAAGAAAAACGGAGAGGGGGAGAAAATAAATAAATAATGATTCACCTAGTTTACTCATCGGATCACGTGGTACGAACGGAACTGCCGACGTCATTAGCGTAACCACTGCGCAGGCTCGTCTTATAAAGGAAAGAGGCACGTGGCTGTCAGCCAGATTAACAGCGCTTGTCACGTGACGTGGAGGTTGGAAAAGAAAAGCGCGCTTCAGTTTGGTGTGGTAAAATACGTTAAAGAAAATGGCAAACGTGATCAGGAGGAGTCTACTGTTAACGGACGAGCAACGAGAGGAATTGGCAGATAATTTTAACACGGTAAGTTATTGTTATCTTGTGTTTATACGTCGAAGAATGCAGTCAGTAGGAGTGTAAGGTGGTTGGTCTGGTTACGTGTAGACGATAGACCGCCATGATTTTAATGATAGCGAATCTTTACAGTGTCATGTTTTAATGTATTAATATCCTCCGAATATTCCCTTATCGTCGAGAAAATTCGTTAAATTGCGCGCATTCCTGCCCGGTTACGGGATATTCTTTCGGTAACGTCTACGTTTTATCCCCGTGATGTACGCGCGTGGGGATATGTTTGGGGTAAAATTTGCATAAATTCGAACTATTTATGCAACGATTTTTTCCCCGTTATTTCTGGTTCGATATTATTGTTTGTTTACCTTGTATCGTAACCGGGCCCCGTTGCTTATAACGGAGACCTGATTAAAGGAAAGGAAGAGGCAGAGAGAGGGAAGGAAAAAAAACGCTAGTGACGCAACCTGCTTCTTCATTCAGCAGCCCTGAGGGGGTTGCCGACACCAGTGATGAGTCACGTGCCAAGGGTACGGCCGGAAGTTGGGTCACGTGGTCACTTTTCTTTCCTCCGAGAGGGGAAGGGATCGACGTGAGACGCGTCTCCCTCCAGCCTTCTCACAATGGAGAATGGTCAAGTGTCGGGTCGATAACTTGCTGTATAAAATATTAAAATATAATAATAGAAGGAATATATATATATATATATATATATATATTTATTTTACAGTTAGTCATACACCAGAGTTTTGTAGTGTTTTTGTTTTGCTTTTATTTTGTAATATAGCGTAATAATGAGAAACAAAATCGTTTATCTAACGTAGTTTATAAAAGTTTATTTCCCTCCGATCGTGTTTTTAAGGGAATTTTACCGTAATCTTATATCATCGTTATAATGTACGAAGTTTATAACAAAGTAAAAGTAGCAAAGTTAAACTTTATTTCCGGCAAAAATGAATATTATACGAATGTTAAGCAATGCAATAAATTTTTCTCTCTTAATAGCAGAAGGAAAATTAAAAAAAATTCCGCGTTCTAATTTTTCCCTAAAATATATTATGTCAAGGCTAGATTATGTTACTTTACAATATATCTTTTCTAAAATTACAAACAAGATTCTTGTGAAATATATATTTTTAACGATTTGCTATTTCTTCATTGTTTTTCCTTGTTTAAAAATATTAATAATAAAATAAAAGTCATCTCTCGTAATGAATTGTTTTTTTGCAACTCTCCCCCTTTTTACTTTCGTCAATAACGCGTCGAATTCGGGGATTCCCCCCATTTAGCTTGATTTTAGGGATAATTTTGCGTAATATTTTGTTGATAGGGTTTTATTTTAAGAAGAAAAATTAATTTTCAGGGAGAAATGTACCCATCATAGTGACGTCACCGCTCGATGGGTGACTAATCAAGGTAGAGAAGGAGATGAATCATTCGAGGTCAGATTTGTATATATAAAGTCCAAGTTGGCTAATTTTCGAGGAAATGAGACGTCGTTTCCCCTTAGGTTTATCCTCACGGAAGAATGAGGAAAAGAACTCACCTGGGAGACGGGAAACCAAGTCGAACGGGGATAAAAATAGGGATAATCGCGGATCAATCTTGTCGTCTGCTATTATGACGACGTAGAACAGGACCGAATTATACGGCTTATTTTTGTGATAAAAATGGGATCTTTATAACATCCGGTTCGCTTCTTTGTCTGGATTTTTTTTAAGGAAGGAAATTTACCAGACACAATCGTAGACTTCTCGATGATGATTCTTCTCTCCGGAGATATTTAAATTGATTCTTCTCGATTTTTAAAATTTAAACGAACCAATCGATGATCATTACGATTTATTTCGACGAGTTGATTCGCTCGATTTCATTTTTAAAATTCAAAAGAAAGGAACGAATAAGATCGTTTAAAACAATTTATTTTTGTACATTTTCTTTCTGTGTTTTATAATAAGCCAGTTAATTGATTATGAAATTTCTTTTAGTTGAAATGTTTCATTTCAACTTACTAAACGAATTTATTCGATTTTTATTTATAGAAACTTAATCGCCCGTTTATTAATTCGATAATTTTACCAGAAATCGTTAGTTAAAAAAAATAATTAGAGATCAGCAATGCATTTTTAATTCGATTTAAATGCCGCTCACGTGGTACGCTGCGCAATTTTAATCTCCTCTTGCCACCTGCGCGATTCGTTACGGGGCTATAAATGGCAATTTTTTAGGCGCTGAGCGATTCGAAAGCGAATTATGACGAATCGGCCATTAACTTATAGATTAAATACGAAATCCCGGCTTTAATGATCACCTTAGGAGTTAGGGGAAAAGGCAATACTTGGATTCGTACAGGTCCAGGTATGCCAGGTATGTATAGGTAGGTAGACAGACGTCGACCTTGACTCTCAGACAACTTAATTTGCGATTAATCTGTACCCAGACGCCAGACTTATCGGAAGAGTTACGAAGTATTTATCAAGAAGAGAGAATGGTCAATATCCGTTTTCTCCTCGAAATCCATAAAAGAAACGGGATTTTTCCCGAAGAAACATCCCGTTTTATGGCTACTAAATCGTGCCGAGATAAGCTGCATTTTTTTTTTCTTTTTTTTGCTTTGTCAACCAACAATAACAGATCCATAAATTTATTTAGGAAGTGTTGCCTCATTTCTGTCTTCCGCACCAGAAATTATAAATTTATTGCCCCCGGGTTGGCATTGTTTGCTAGCCAACGCTTTTCCATGCCTTTTTCGCATTTCTCCTTGTCGAAGGCTGCGCTCCAATTGAGCGAAACAGTCAAAATAGTTGCTAGATACTTAGTTCCACTCCAGACTTCGATACTCTTCGATAATCGCCAGGTTTTTTTTTTTTTTGTTTCTCTCCCTTTTTTCTTCTCACTCATTTGCCCTTAATGAGGAAACCGATCTAGGTCATACGATCATCCATATTAGCTTTTGATTTTTACTAGAAATCTCTTCCTTCTCGCTTCGAAATCGAATTTCTGGAATTCTCCAACCAGCCATTAAATCGGAAACCAGAAATCTTATTCCTGCAGTTGTGTAATTAGTTGTCGGCTTCACAGAGCTGTCGGCAGTTTGAAAAATGTTGTTATTAATCTCGCTAAAAGCAGGTGTCTTTGTTTAATAATTATTTATTTTCGTTTTTTTTAATATCCAGTCAACCGTTTGAATGATTGCCTGATAAGAGTTATGTTGCAGCTGTTAGACTGTTCGAATCGTTTTAAAGTTTGGAGAAGAGATACAGGAGACTTTGGGATATACTGGTTTGCCACCATTTTTAAAATTCTTCCCCGACCTTCGCTACAAGCGATTCCTTTATTTTGGTTTATTTACGCTCTGGTCAGTTTTTTATGGCGTACGCGTTTTGCTTACAACAGTTTCCATCTGCCTGGTGACGAGTAGTGGACGTCGACCCGCGCTAAAAATAGGGAAAGGTAATTTCGAGAACATTAATCCAGGTTATTCCCCAGAGTCAAGTGGTCACGGTCCTGAGGTTAAGTAACTCTCAATCGCGTAACGCGCTGTCACTAACAGTAACGGTGTTTTTGTTTCGTTTTTCTTGAAATCTCGATCTCCTATTTATCGAAAGGCGTGACTAATCGGATTGTTTCACGCGAAAACGACAGTCAGATCCAGGCAAATGGAACCCGATTCTTCAGGATCGGAAGTCGACATTGGTTGTAAGAAAATTTTTCTCTACGCTAGGGAAATTTTATCATTTATCTCCATAACGGAGAGAAATAGTTATTCGGAGAATCGTAATTTATAGATGTTTTTATCTCGAAATGGCGGAATTTAATAGCTGATGTACGAATATTTGCAAAAAAAAAAAAAAAAAAATTATCGCATATTTCTTAAGTGAGGGTCAAGAGTTATGGCAAAGTAGTTCGATTGATACGAATCTATTGACGTACTTTATCACTCCGGATATACGACAAGGGGAAAATAAAAATAGTTTCAGAGTTTCGTCAGCTTGATGGAGGGCAAAATTGCGATAGAATTTTTAAAAGCGGTGACATAACGGTGAATCGGTGAAGTAGATTCGACCGTTACTTGCCATATATGGCAAAACCGGAGAGACCACTTACTGTTTTTTAACCGGGATAAGAAAATACACAGACGGGCGGGGAAATTTTTTAAAACATTCTTCACGGTTTCGGATCTAATTCGATAATTATGCCATATTAGCATCCATTGGAGTGGTTTTTTTCTGGCTTATCGATGCACACTTACGCGATAGATCCGGTTTGGGATATCCTGTTGATCTATGTGGAAAATAGCTAAAATCGAAATTATTACTATTGCCTAACAAGGAAATATTTTCCTTTTTTGTTTCTCGATAATTCCTCATTAATTTCCTCTCTCAGTAGGTAGAGGGCGTTTACATCCTTGTCGTTTTTGCAGGAAATGCTTCATTAAACGTCAGTTCCTGTAGGGGGACTGACTTAAGTATTGCCAGATCATTAAAAACCAATTTAAAAATTTAGTGTCAGTAACACCTTATACACAATCTCCACACTTTACTTGACCTTCTTTGGACACTCTTAAAGCTTTCAATCTCTAATAATAAACAAAATTATAGTATTCTTGGGGGAATGTATGCATGCTACATACTACTATTGCTTGCTTTGCAGTGATTTAAATAAATTATAAATTCAGAGGAGAAACATATTTTTATAATTCTAATAAATACAATTTACATTTAGCTCCCATAATTGATAAAATTAACAGAGACTGATCTTTTTATAAATAAAAGTTGTTTCTTGTTGATGTTTAAGTGTGTTTATACTTCAATCAAGTGATGACTTTTTGAACAGAGTCCATTATCTATTTTCATTTCTTTGCTGCATAAGACTATTAAGAGCCAGTTTTGATTTGGTAGATGTACAGCATGGAGTATGGGTTTTAACTCAAGCTGACATGCATTGCTCACCATGAATGTGATTGTGTATTATTTATCTTCAGACTTTGTAATATTCTACTTTACTTTGTA